AGGGAGGGAGGGAGGGATAGAAAAGGAGTCCTCTACCTCGAGCTGAGAGATGTGAAGCAGCCCATCTGTCGATGATCCAATGTCCACAAATGCACCATAAGATTGTATGGATTTCTGTTCGACAAAAGTCAAGGACAGGCGAGTGTCACAAAAGAGTAATATCAGTCAGGGAAGCAGCATAGCTACTTATTTGTTCCCTCGCATCTTTCTTCTTCTTGTTCCTCTTCTTCTTCTTCTTCTTCTTCTTCTTCTTCTTCTTCTTCTTCTTTCGTTCTTCTTCTTCTTGCAATCAGACTCTCTTTCACTTCCACTTCACATACATGCAAACAGATGGAGATTCACACTGGCGCAGGGCGCCCACTCAAAGCTTAGAGATATGGAAATCAAGAACAGTTCAGATGCAAGTTCACTTCAACAGGCTATGGCGCATCGGCGCCTGAACGTCCCAACCTTCGTCACTGTGTCCAACCCCACTGTTCACACACGCTCACTCTGGATCACCCTGAATACCACCACACACACACGCTTAATCTCACTTCCTCCTACAGCGGCTATGGCCGCACTACCACTACTGACTATGGCTACGATCTCCCTTCAGCCCACTTCGTCTTCGGGCAACCTGCAGACCACCTTCGCACAAGACGCTGTAGCAGCGCTTCCGCATGGCTTCCGCAGTGAATGAATGAATGACTGGTCGCTGCCTCTTACTTTATACTTCTGTAGCTCGTTGGTCTGCCCCTTTCCCATGCCCTGGGTACACACAGTCCCATACGGTACTTGCTTGACTGGACCCTGACTGACTGGGACTGATACCACTGACTCCATGGGGACGTATTGCCAACTCGCTGCAGTCGCACTGCCGACGTACTGCAGCTCGCCTTGCCACTTGCCCACTTGCCTTTGTCTAAACGTGAGCAAGCTCCGAAAGGCCACTTCCGGACCTTCCGGAAGTCCGAAGACTTGGCCTTTCAGTACCGTAGCAGCTACGACCTTGACCTTTCAGGACTACAGCAGCTACGACTTTGACCCTTCGGAGAGGCTACAGCTACCATTTCTAGGACCTGCTAAGACCTACAACAACAGGTCTACAGATCAAACCCCTACAACCTACGGACCTACGACAGCCTACCAACTACTGCGAACACACAAGTCACGGATTCAACTCTCAGGGTCGACTCAGGTACTGTACACAGGTGAAGTGAGGACTAGGGATCGAGCCCTGGGATCTGCATCGGCTACTGCGAAAGGTGGAATCCGTTTCATTCTCTGCTTTGTCGTAATATACAGATAAAAACCTAATAACTCAGTTCCCATGCTGCATTGACCAGAAATTCCAGCCTGGGTGCCAGGTTCAGACAACTTTGCGGAAGATTGGTGTGATGCCTCGCATGGAGAGGGAAAATAAAGTCTTTTTTTTCCTTCTTTTTTCAAGTGCAAGAAGATGAAAATCACGGCTTGTTTATCAACAGTTATATTGGTGTGCCATTCATTCAACCACATGGGATGGGTTATAGATTCAATCTTTTTTCTCGTGTCCGACCAAACACACGACTCGCACGCAAAAAAAAAAAAAAAAAAAAAAAAAAAAAAAAAAAAAAAAAAAAATCACAGCCAACACAAACGCGATGGACATAATCTAAATAAAAAATATATATATATAAAATAAAAACCATCATCATGGCGACACACGCTCTACCTTGATGCTTAGCCAGTTGTAGGGGTACCATGGGCCCGGTGTCAGGAATGAGATGCCGGCCTGACACCTGCGACTCCTGATACCGAGTCCGGGGCATATATGTTTTGTGACATAATCAACTATCACAACAAATATTAAAAGAATTATATTCATAAAAAAATAGAAAAGAGAAAACTGAATAAAAGAATGGAATCAAAGTCTGTCAGAAAATAGGGGACATTTTCTTTTTTTTCAAGGAGAAAACGAAAGAGTATAACCAAGTACTTACAACTGTTCCCTGGAGTATTTGTCCCAACTGCAGATCCTGGATCTTGACGGAAACTGTGCGCCGCTGCCTACCTCCTCCCCTTGCTCTCCTTCTCGCGTCTATAGCAGGAGTGGGGCTGCTGCTGGGCCCATCCCTTACTTCACCACTGGCCTCGGTGGGCTCAATCTCTGTCCCCCCGGCCTCAGAAGAGACACCATCAGCAATCTCTCCTCCCTGACTCGTTGTGCCGCCATTGGCATCGGCTTCGTCTTCCGAAGTTTCAGATACAGAGGCCAGCGTCTGGGGTGCATCCTCTGCCACAGCTCGCGGCACACTGTCCAATCTGAGGGACGAAGACAAAGATGAAGAAGAGGAAGAGGAAGGAGAAGAGGAGGACAAAAACAAAGACGACGATCCCCGCTCACTTGACTTGAGAAGTCGACAGACACTTAGGGTGTCCTGAGCCAACCTCCTCTGCAATTTGCAGGACCCAACTCCTGCTGCCCTTACCCCTACACCTACTTCTCCCACTACCGCTCTAAGCCCTACTCCTCCAGCCCCTCTTCCTCCACCTGCTCTCCCTCCTACTGCTGCTCCTCCTACAATCACCCCACCTCCTCGTACTCCTGTTACCACCACCCTCCTCGTCCGATGCCACAGCTGTATCCCACAGCAGATTGATCTGCACAATCATAACACACACACACACACACACACACACACACATGCGCGCGCGCGCGCATGCAGGGCACATGCACACAAACAAACATGCACACACCATTCCAGCGAACCAAACAAGCAATGAATTAGTCAACCAATCAGGCATATTCAATCAGGCATTTCAGTCAATTTTAATCAATTGACCTGTCTATCAATCAATCAGGCATATTCATGTATATATAGTCAAACAGCGCTGCCCGGTAAACCATAAGCAGAGAGGGATGTATATGTATATAAGCGACCAAACACGCAATACCCTCGTATACTCACTCACTCCAGAGCCCTGGTCTACCCTCAAAATCAATGTCAACCCCATATTTCGCTCAGACGAGCTTTCCCCGCCCCTCTCTCCTCTTCTCCCTGCCTCTTTTTTGCATCATCTATCGTAATGCGTGCCTCTCTCTCTCTCTCTCTCTCTCTCTCTCTCTCTCTCTCTCTCTCTCTCTCTCTCTCTGTATATATATATACCTATCTCTGAGGGGCAGGACCACAGTAAAAGATTTCTTGCAACCTGCAAGGTGGAGAATGTCAATAAAGAGGGTTGGGGTGAACAGAAAAGGGTAGGCATTTACCATGTGTACATTTTTTCTGGGTACTCCCACAACTAAGGATAAATCAACTTTAGACAAAGGCAGAGAAGAAAGCTTCAAAGTTCACAAAGTCGGATTTCCCGATGGGAGCCTGGTGGCAAACGACAACAAGAAGACGGCGAGAGCCTGGCAGGTCCGCAACATACATCAACAGATAGAACCCTGACCTGAACCTGCTGCCACATACCTCCACAGATCGGGACTGTAGGGACAAACAACAATAACAACAACATCCCCCCCCCTCCCCCTTGCAACAGGTTCCATGCTAATCTTTTCTGTATTGTTCCAATTTTAACCGATGTTCAAAAAAAGTTAAATAAAAAGGAAAAAAAAACAAAAACAATAACAACAAGATAGCCTGGTAGGTCTGCCACATACCTCAACCGATAGAATCCTGACCTGCACCTCCTGCCCAGTTGTCAGCATAGTTTCAATAGCCACATTCTCACCTGATGATGTCATCATAAAATATCCACCAACACAACAACAGACACACAAGGTCCTTCATACACGATATGATAACCATTTGTTTTTCCTTTTCTTTTTCTTTTCTTTTTTTTTCTTTTATTTTCTTTTCTACTCCATACTTTTCCTCGATTTATGTGTGTCATCCTTCCACAGGGTCCACAAACTAATTCATCTTCTGATTCTCCCCTTCCCCCCCTCTATCATTCCAATTTTAACAATGCCCCCGAAGGACTGCGATTTCATAGCCATTTGTAACACAAGGTAATGTCGCATTCCCAACCCCACCGTGGACAGACTGACGGACGGACGGACGGACGGATGGACAAAACTTCACAAAAGCCTTAAGAACTCAAAGAGCATGTCTAAAGAAACAGAGGCACGGATCCTTTTCACACCGTCGTAACTACCTTCTTCCCCCGAATACTAGCGGTATTTGAGGTATCTTTCTGTCCAGATTAAGTCCATAATGACCGTATGTTGTATTCTGAAACGGTATTCACCTGCTAGCAGTAGCGAATGCAGATCCCAGGCCTTGATCCCTAGCCTTTACCTTACCTGTGTACATTACCTGCGTCGACCCCGAGAGTTGAACCCGTGACCTGTGTATTGTAACAGTTGATAGACTGTCGTCGGGTCCGTAGGTTGCAGGGGTTCGATCTGTAGACCTGTCGGATAGAGGTCTTAGGGGGTTCTAGAAGTCGTAGCTGTAGGACTTCTGAAAGGTCAAGGTCGTAGCTGCTACAGTCCTGAAAGGTCAAGGTCATAGCTGCTACCGTATTCGAAAGGCCAGGACTACAGACTTCCGGAAGGTCCCAGTAGTGGCCTTTCGAAGTTGGCTCACGTCTAGACAGAGGCAAGTGGGCAAGTGGNGAGAGAGAGAGAGAGAGAGAGAGAGAGAGAGAGAGAGAGAGAGAGAGAGAGAATGGGAAGATGCAGGACTACGAAAAACAACAAAAACTGGCAGTGTATATTCCCATGTTCTACCGGCAGATTCATTCTCTTCCTATCGGTATGCACTGGATGCAAAAAGATAATGAATCTCTGGCTAGAACATGGGAAGATACACTGCCAATTATTTGGCTTTCATAGTCATAGACAAAACATATGGGGTTGCATCTTCCCAGTTGGTAGGGGTCTCTTCCTTTTGGGATCGGGATCCCATAAAGGTGCAACGTTATGTTCCTGTCTGAACGCCCCGAACGCGAAGGCGCCACGTGGCAGACAGAGGGAGAAAAGTGAACTCCGCCGGTGCGCAAGCGTCTGAAGCACCCCGGGGTGCACTGAGTTAAAAAAAAAAAGGTCAAAATAAAGAAAATGTGGTTTCTGTGTGTGTTGTTTAAAAAAAAAAACAGATTCTCTCTCTCATTCCCTTAAAAACCATCACAAGCCATAGATAAGCAATATATGTGTGTGTGTGTGTGTGTGTGTGTGTGTGTGTGTGTGTGTGTGTGTGTGTGTGTGTGTGTGTGTTGTCATATTCACTATAGACTCAAACAGAAGCATGACTGTGCTTAACTGTTTCGTCGGACATTCACCGACTCATCAGGAGGTTGTGTGTGTGTGTGTGTGTGTGTGTGTGTGCGTGCGTGCGTGTAGGCGCACAACAGCAGTCGAGGCGCACACACACGCACACACACAAAAAAAAAAAGGTACTTTTGTTTCTCTTTTTTGTTGTTTTTTATTCAATTTCTGTTGTTCTTTTGATGGTATAGACTCTATAGAGGGATGTGCGGGGTGCCTGCAGCCCTTCCACACACCCCAACCCCCCCCGGCCGAATCCCCTCTGTTTGACGATATATACATCGGCAGAGAGGGGAGGGAGAAGAGGACAACAAACAAGCGGCTGTGACAGACTGTTCCGTCCGAGTTTCACCGACTCAGCCTGAGGTTGAAACAAATATATATATATCGTCAAATAGATATATATATAAAATAAAAACTACGCATATATATACCCCTCGTTTGTTGTCATCTTCTCCCTATCTCCCTATGTATATATCGTCAAATAGAACTGCCTGGTAAACTGTAGTACGCAGAGAGGGAGAAGTGGACAACAAACGAGGGGCTGTGACAGACTGTTCCGTCGGAGTTTCACCGATTCATCAGGAGGTTGAATAAATATATTTATCTACCTATATTATCTATATATATCATATAGATATATATATCGTCACAAACAGAACTGCCCGGTAAACCGTAGGCAGAGAGAGAGAAGAGGACAACAAACGAGGGGCTGTGACAAACTGTTTCRTCGGAGTTTCACCGACTCATCAGGAGGCTGAACCCTCAACAGTCTGCAGAATCCCCTCACTGATTACACTGTAAATGATAATCTACCTTAACCAAAATCAAAGTAGACTATCACTCACCCACATATATATGTTTATCGTCAAACAGAGCTGCCCGGTAAACCGTACGCAGAGAGGGAGAAGACGACAACAAACGAGAGCGCCTAAGCAAAAAAACCAAAAAAACAAAAAAATCTTAAATTCGTTTTTAATCTTCTTCCTTACAACTCCCCCTTTTCAGAACCTCTTGTGTACAAGGCCGCCCACGTGGATGTAGGTTGAGCGGCGGCTGCCCCCACCCCCGTGTGTCATATCGACCCACTTGCACACAGCCAAAAGGCAAAGAGGCAAAGAAGAGAGGAAAGGAACAGCCAAATGAAACAAATAGAACAGAGGGAAACAAGACAGATCCCAGATGACAAGTCCCACATGCAAGCACCGCCCAGGCAAAGAAGAGAGGAAGGGAACAGCCAAATGAAACAAATAGAACAGAGGGAAACAAGACAGATCCCAGATGACAAGTCCCACATGCAAGCACCGCCCGCTCCGTCAAAGGCCAAACAACGGGACAAGGCTACCCAGGACGAGACATAAAAAAGCGACGATCCACAGTGTGACAACCAAGAAAAAAAGAGAAGACAATCCCGGATGACGATTCCCACATACAGGCACCGCCCCGCCTCTCAAAGGGCCGAACAACGGGAAACAACCAACCAGGATGCCAAAAACCCGAATGGCTGGTCCCACGTGAAATACATATATATATCGTCAAATAGAACTGCCCGGTAAACCGTAGGCAGAGAGGGAGAAGAGGACAACAAACGAGGGGCTGTGACAAACTGTTTCGTCGGAGTTTCACCGACTCATCAGGAGGCTGAATATACATATACGTAAAAAAGATACCTATATATCGTCAAATATATATCGTCACATGAATATCAGAGCGCAAAGGCGAAAAAGACAGAAGAAAACAAGAAAAAAATAATTCGTTTTTTTTATCTTCTTTCTTACAACTCCCCCTGTTCAGAACCTCTTGCATATATCGTCACAAACAGAACTGCCCGGTAAACCGTAGGCAGAGAGAGAGAAGAGGACAACAAACGAGGGGCTGTGACAAATATATATACTCGAAGAACTACCATCTTTCCCCGAATAAAACGAACGGTAACTATAGCTGTATTTTGGCACAACTTTCACTCCTAGATACAGACTCAACAACGATCGTGCGTTCTATTCGGGGGAGGACGGAATTTGTACTCGTATGTTATGCTACATCACCAAACCACTCAATTCGTCTTAGACTCTTAACCTTTTAACGCACGTGCGTGCCAACATCCGCACAGTGGAGAATGCTTTCACTTCCATCTGGTGGTGAGCGCGGAGGCGGAAGCCATAGCCCTGCTATGGCTTCTACCTCTCGGTACATTATATTCTTCTATTATTGTTCTTCTATTACTGTTCTATTATTGTTCTATTTTTGTTCTATTTTTGTTCTATCTATCTGAGAGCTATTGCCGATTGTTCTTTTCACACAGCGTCCGCAGTGGATTCACGGTTGCGTGTACGAACGGGTCAGTGCATCAGTCTCCTTCCTTTTCACACTCTCCTCCTCGAACAAGCTGGGTTCATTTCTCCTCTTACGGTGGAGGGAAAAGGACAAAAATGCAATGAAATTCACTCTGTCACCAAGACGGACACAAGGATGTTTTCGTCTTAAAAAAAAAAAAAAAAAAAAAAAAAAAAAAAAAAAAAAAAGTGTGACCAGTATGGTTGACGGTTTGGTGAAATCGTTAAAACGGCGTTCTCCTTCCCTATAACATGTTTTCTTTTTCTTTTCTTTTTTTTTTTTTCAGCTCGAGAGCCGTTCAGGGCGCGAGGATGCTAACGGTGTGGTATTAATCCGTTTGATGATTTGTAATCCGTTTGCTGATTTGAAACGGTTACCACCGTTAACTTGGCAGGCTGCTCTAATACTAGTATATGAGTTAGGGGGGCACGGGGGGAGGGGGAAGGGAAATGGTAGCTTTGTTAGCGGGTTGACCATTTCGCCACATCAAACTAAAAACCTTAAACGGGGTTTTGAGGGGGTGACAATTTTGCTTTTTCTTTTATGATTTGGGGGGGGGGGAGGGGCGGGGGGGAAATAACAAAAACTAAATTTAATAGTTTCCCCCCTACTTCACCATGAATTTGGCAGCGTTCTTGATTATTAGTAGTACGCCTCTTGGAACCTTTTTCTTGAATGGCAGCCTTCTTAATCCAATGAATAAATTCAAAAAAATGCTCATAAATTTTAAAAGGCTGACAAGTCAAATTCATTCATTCATTTGATTATTGCTACGCCTCTCTGAACCTTTCAAATTTATGCGCATTTTTTTCATTTCCCCGTGCCATACCACTGGCCAGGGCGTCTCCTAACCTTCATTCCTCTCTCTCTCTCTCTCTCTGTGTGTGTGTGTGTGTGTGTGTGTGTACCCCCCAATTCTTATTTTCCCCTTTTTTCTCATTTTCCCCGTTTGTACCCCCGTCTTTTTCCCACTATGCCGTGGGTCACCAGCTCCCAGTGCATCAAGTGATGGACTGATGGGACGGGGGCTCGCCGAGTGACTCATGGCACAGTGACACTAGGACTTTTCAGGACGTATCTAACCATCCTGACGGCTAGATTCAGTCCGGGAGCTCGCGGAGTTACTCATGGCATACTCAGAATAGAATGCATCTGGCCATGGTTACGGCTAGTTTTTTTCCCAGAAATTCCAATTTTTTATTCTTTTAATACTTTTTATTGTTTTTCTTTTTTCAAGGGCGATGGCGTTGAGATATCATCATCGAGTTGCCCGGCGCCAGGTAATTCAGAATTATTTGATGACATTCATCTCGGTCCATCAGGGTTCGAGCTTGGTGGGTCTGTATTTCAACAACAGTACATGGGTGTACCAACTGAGCTATTAAAAAGTTAAAAAAAAAAAAAAACTCTGCCCTGAAATTCTTTTTTTTTTTTTTTTTTGGAAAAATTTGGACCATTTCACGATTTATCCGTGTCATCCTTGCGCAGGGGCCATGCTAATCTTCTCTGTATCGTTCCAATTTTAACCGGTCCCGAAGGACTCGCGCAGGGGCCTTGCGCAGGGGCCATGCCCTGAAATTCTCAAGACGTGAACGGCCTCAGAATTGTACTTGGCTGTACCGGATGTGCGACAAGTACATTGATCCTGGCTATGCTGGGTGTGCGACACTGAATTGTACCTGGCTGTGCCAGAGTTATTAATCAAGACGTCGGTGAGTCGAATTTAAAATAGTAAGCGTAGTTATTATTCTAATATAATATAATTGCCAGGAATTAATTAACTACCAATTATTGCATTGCCGCCGAAATATTCTTCATTGCGTAATTATCAATTACTAACCTTATTTTTATTATAACAATAATAATTCCTAATTCCCTATAAAATGCTGCCCGGTCATGTTATGTACGACCCTCTCCAAATTTTCAAAACAGAAACGAAAGCAAAAATAAAATTCGTTGGAATTAGAAAACGATTGATGGGACCAGTTCCCGGCGTCCTGGGTTTGGCGCTGTTTTTTTTTTTTGGGTCTTTTTTTTTGGCAAAGGTGATCTTGGGTTTGCTGAGCCTTCAGCACACAGAGCGGAGATTCTTTTCACAACGACACACAGGCAGAGAGAATCATATAAGGAAGATTAGACTAGACTTCCGTACATCTTTTTTTTTTTTTCTATTAAGAAAAGGTAGATCAACGTGGCTGAGACACATGCAAGGATGGCAAGCACTATTTGCGTCACTTTTTTTTATTTTTTTTTGGCATCACTTTGGGCCTCGATGCCCTACTCTCCGCATGCACAAAAGACAACAACGATGGCAATGTATCTTTCCATGTTCTAGCGGTGGATGCAGTCTCATTTTGCACATATGGAGAGTAGTGCAGCGAGGCCTTTTGCCGGGCACTTTTCGTGAAAAATGATGTCAGCCGTTGGGAGACTCATCTAGTCACAGAATGGCCAACACTAGATAATGGTCCCTTTTTTTTTTCTTTTTTTTTTTGTTTTAACCAATCTCATATTTGTTATTTCCTTAATGGTCCCTTTTCCGGGTTGTTTGCGGAGGGTTCCCGGCCTCCTTTTGCTTTGGTAATAAAATGAGCTGGGTTTCTTTGTAAAAAAGAAAATTAAAAAAAAAATTAAAAAAAAAATGACGCCTCACGTGGCGGCTATCCGTGTTCTCTACGCTTGATTTAAAAATATGCCAGACGATCAAAAAAAAAAAAAAAAAAAAAAAAANAAAAAAAAAAGATGGCAGAAGATGGAGAATTCTTCCATGAACGTATTTTTCCGAACCTGTCGTACGAAACCGTGGCTGCCTTGTACATCAAAATCTTCTTCTCAAAAAAAAAAAAAAAAAAAAAAGTTGTTCAGTTTTAAAAAAAAAAATTAACAAAAATAAAAAACGTCGCTGGGGTCCCGGTCTTGTGGTTCCTCATTTGTTCGGTGGAAATAAAAGTTCCTTTTAGGGGGGGTGGAGGGGGATGGGGGAGAAAAAAACGTGGCTGTGGCCTGGGACGTGGACTTTCCAGCGCGGGCAGGTCCCAGTTCATTCCAGAAGTTTGCATTATTGTCCGTAAACGGACAACCCCGACCACTTGTCGCTTTTCCTTACTTCAGAATGAACCGGTCGTTCAGCCGGTCGCCCGACTGGTCATTCAGCCGGGCGGTCCGAGCGGTCGTTCAGTCGGTCTTCCACCACCCAGTCGTCGTTCATTTTCGGTCTTCCACCGGGTCGATCAGTCGGTCGTCCACCCGGTCGTTCCGTCGGTCGTCCACCCGCTCAACGGTTCCATGAAGAGAACCTACGACCGCCACGAAACCCGTGCTCCGTTGGCTGCGCCGGTCATCTACCGCCCTAGTTTCAGAGGATCGTAAAGCACCCACCTTTCCAGTTCTATTTTACTTCCACGAAAAAAAAGGTTAAAAAAAGCGACAACCTTTTTTTTTTTCATGCTAATCTTCTCCGTATCAGGTGTTTTTTTTTTTTTTTTTAAGGCACGCAAAACGCCGTAATTTCTCCTCTCCCGCATCTCCTCGACACTGCCATCTGATTACACTCCTGCCTTTCCCAATTTTCCAGATTTTATTTTTTAAAACAAAACCGTCCCGGTGTCCCTCCCGTCCTTTCCAGAATTCTTTCATCAACACCATTCTTTCTTTCTTTTTTTTCCCTTTTTTTTCCTACTTTTTTTTTCTTTTTTTATTTTTCTTCCCCCCCCCCCCCTTAGCCTTTCGTTTCTACTCCGAATGGCACACGTACATACCATGCCTCTGCTACACCTCCTCTCCTACTAACTCTCTTCTTTTTTTCATTTTTTTCACTTCTTTTTTCACTTTTGTTCCCTTTTTCTTTTTGCTTTTTTATAATCTTCTTCTTCACCATCTTCTTCTTCGCCATGATATGATCATGAGGAGGAGGAGGAGGAGCAGGAGTGGGAGGAGGAGGAGGAAGAGGAGGAGCAGGAGGAGGAGGTTCCTGTCCTGAATGGGGCGGAAGGCCAGAACTTCATCAAAGGCTAAAATAGAAATTAACAACAAAAAAAAAGGTAATTGGTTCTTCTCCATCCTTTCGATACAGCTTTTATCAAATAAGCAAAGCATACAAATATATAAGTAAATATATATGCAAGCAAATAAATGGTAAAATGTTGTGCATTTTAGAAAGCCAGTGTGTTTTACCATTATAGGATGGCTGTGAAGTTTTGTCCCCTGAACCGCAGACTTGCTGCCGGGACAATACTTCAGTTCAAATCAGCTGCCTCTCTCTCTCTCTCTCTCTCTCTCTCTCTCTCTCTCTCTCTCTCTCTCTCTCTCTCTCTCTCTCTCTCTCTCTCTCTCTCTCTCTCTCTCTCTCTCTCACACACACACACACACACACACACACAGATTGTTTATATGCGTTGTCATCATCAAATTCGGTCTGAAGCGAAAAGGAGTATGTCTCAGTGGAGCAACCACCAACCTTCGATTGCCAGGCTCGTCAAAGCGCCATGTCTGGCTGGAGACCGCCCTACTCGCTGTGGAAGTCGAGCGCAGCGAATATGCACCCTGAGTGGGAATGAAACGTCATCCAATCAAAACGAATCGCATCAGATACGGCGGGCGCATTGTAGCATTTTTTTCTCAGCATTTCTTAACCACGACGACAGCATAGTTGACGCATGCCTATTACCAAAAAAAAAAAAAAAAAAGCATGCCGATAAACTGTGCATATGTGCATAAAACATATCTTTTCAGGACAAGGTCTCCTTTCTGAGCAATGCAACGTATTACAAAATTATTAAATATTAGTTATCATTTCTTATCCGAGAAATCACTCTTGGAGTGATAGCAAGCAGCAAACTGCAATCGTATCAAATTCAATCAAAAATCAGAAACGACTCACGTCAGAGCAGACCAGGCCGGCTTAGAAACTTACCGGGGCATTGTTTTTTCCTTCAGTAACTCCTGACTAAAAAAAAAGAAACTTGCCGAGCTGGATGTTTTCTACAAGAATATGGATTCGCTTTGGTTGCCCAAAAGCGGAAGGAGAGCGGAAGGAGAGCGGAAGGAGGGCGGAAGGAGGGCGGAAGGAGAGTGGAAGGAGAGTGGAAGGAGAGTGGAAGTAGAGTGGAATCAGGGCGGTCGTCGTCAACACCACGTTCCTTGTCCTCTGCACTGCGCTGAATGAGAGATGGGGCAGGAAGAAACTGAGGGGACGAGGAGCAAGCGGAAGACGATGAAACGGGAAGAAAGGGGGGGAGGGGGAGGAGGGGAAAGAGGGGGAAGAGGGGGAAGAGGGAAAAGGAGCAGTTGATGAAGAAAGGGCGGGGAGGTCGGAGAGGGAGCGAGAAAGAAAGAGAGAGGTGGCGGTGAGGGAGCCAAGGAAGTTGAAATGACGGTGAGAGAAGAAGGGATGGGGCGGGGGGGGGCGGGGGGCGCAAGCGCCGAGGAAAGGGGAGGGGGAAGGGGAAGGGGAAGGGAGATGGCGGGTGCAAGGGGTTGCGCAAACGGACCGGTTTGGAGAGATGCGGAGAAGAAGGTTGCGCAAGCCAACATGACGAATGTAGGAGGCCTCTCGGCGGGAGCACTGCGGCGGTCGTGGCGGACGCCATGGTGCGTCCGACTCCTTGATGCTTGGGAGGAACGGCGCGCTTCTACTTGGCCGCTCGTCACACAGCCAGCCAGCCAGCCAGCCAGTCGGCCAGCCACCTTTCCCCCGCCCCCGCAGCCTCTCCCTTTCCCTCTACCTCTTCCTCTCTCCCTACCTCCGCTTCTTACCTACTCGTCCTGACCAAACTACAATGAACTGTTTGTCGTCGCCGCGATGGCGTGGCGACCCATCTACCCGTCGCGCGCTTTCTCTGCGGGGCTGCGCGGCTATCTCCCACAAACGATCACCACCTCAGCCACGGGGTGTCGTGGTCGGGCTCGGCGCGGTGCGGCCCAGCTGCTGGGCGTGCTTGTCGCGCCCAAGCGACGGCGGGGCCAGGAGGGGGGAGGGGAGGGGAGGGGAGGGGGGGGGGGGGGGGGGGGGCGGGGGGGGGGGGTCCGCGGTGGGGGGGGGGGGTGGGGCCCCCACGGGGGGGGGGGGGCGGGGGGGGGGGGGGGGAGGGGGGGGGGGGGGAGGGGGTAGGTGCAGCGCGGGTGGGGACTACGACGGCCCCACACCTCCTGTGATGGAGCACGCAAGCAGGGGAACTCCCGCGCGCGACGAACGGGCAAGAAGCACGCAGAAGGCAACAACGCCCCTGGCCTCTGCTGGAACGAGAGGGAGCGCGCTACCTCCTACCGGTAGCGCGCGGGAGCGTGGACCTGCGGCTGGTCGCGACACAACTACACCTGCGCCGACCTCCCTCCACAACGCTCACACCTGCCACCCCTCGCCCCCCCGCCGCGATCTATCGCCCCGGCCTCGTGCCCATACCTCCACCACCCGCCCGCCGCGGTCATTCCCAGCGCCGGCTGGCGCAAAACTGAACGACCTAATCTGAGTGAGGCCGGAAGGCTGAAGAAGCCTCCCCGCCATCCGACCGACCGACCGGCCGCCCGCAGATCGCCGCACTGCGGCGGGCAGGCGGACGTTTCGTCAAGACCAATGGCGCTTTAGCCCGTCGACGGGCGGACAACCAGTCTCGCCTGCGGCCCCATCTTTCTGGCTTGGAGCGCGGAGGTCGAGCGCTTGTGGATAGGGCGCCACTAATAACGAGGTGGCGCCTCGCTCCAAGGCGCGCACCACGACAGCGGCCGATCATCCATACCATATGAACGATAGCATCATCTGCGTACCGTCGCCTCTCTCGTCCCAACCTCACCGCCGTTCTCTGCGTTCGCCCCTAGCTCGGCTGCGTACGTGGCAGGCAAGGCATTTCTGTGTCTTTATTTTCTTGTTTTGTTTTGTTTTGTTTTGTTTTGTTTTGTTTTGTTGTGTTGTGTGTATTCGAACTCCTCTTCTCTGTAAAAAAGAAGAAAAAAAAAACTCTTCTCTGTAAAAAAAAAAAAAAAAAAAAAGTCCTCTTCTCTGTATGTTTCGTGCCATTTTTAACGGATCTCCCGAAGGACCGAACTACTCCCTAACGTGCCAGCGGGTCTGTTCTCTCAGCCTCGCCAAGGGAACATCCATCTGAGCGCCCCGTGCCGAGGTCATCGGCGCCCGAACCGCACTACCTCGACCTTTGGGGGGGCTACCGGTAGTTGTACTACTCGCCATCGGGCTGGGCAAGCTTGGTGTTCTACAGGCTAGAGAACCCGTTGGCCCTCCAAGCCAGCATTGGCAGGACCTTGGCCAATATTGTTGGTTGCTATGCAGCAATGATATTGGCCATTAGACACCGCTAATGTGGGCTTGGAGGGTGGTAGGGGGACGTGCGAGTGACTGGCCAAAGATGCTCCGCACTAGCATCGCCGGTTTCCCCCATCGGCAATGCCTGATCACCGCACATCATCGTGATGAGGGGCTGATACAAGCCTTGCTCTTGCACCACTGTTGTGGTGCCAGCTTACCCCGTGGGGCCGTGGGCTGGTCAGAGTTCCATGTTCGCAGCCCTTAGGCTGCGGTATAGTGGGCTTCCGCGTCTGTGTCAAGGTGTCGCATTTTTGGCGGCGGGCGACCAGGATGCAAAGTGGGTTCTTAGGGGGCAAAAAATTTGGGGGACCGGTCCTTGGCAAAACTGCGGACTACCTACAACTAGCTCTGCTAGAACCGGGACTTTTGGAAAAAGGAAGGACCGGTCCTGGGGTGGAAGTGGACCCCAAAAAGAAGTGGGGGGCGTTGGACCGGACCCCGGGTAGAAGCGGACCCCAAAAAGAAGTGCGGGCATGTGAACTGCAAAAGGGCCCTCAGGCCCAGGCATTGAGCCCCGTCTTCTCAAAACAAGGAGGTCAGGCACAACGAAATAGGCGTTTTGCAAGAGGCAACTTTGGCGATTTTCAATGCTCGAACGAACATGCACAAAAATCTAAAATTTTGAGAATCCATAGATGAGGTCGTGTTCTTTCCATAAATAATAATAGAATATTTTTAAAAAATCATTTGCACTGCGAAATAATCGTCGCACCGATTCGGCACATTTTTCATTTTTGCCACTCAGCCATGCCTGGGCCAATCATTTTAAAAAAATCATTCCAATTACAAAATAAATCGCGGCCGCAATTTAACCCATATTTAATTTTGTCATTCAGTCAATCTCTCTCTCTCTCTCTCTCTCTCTCTCTCTCTCTCTCTCTCTCTCTCTCTCTCTCCTCTCTCTCTCTCTCTCTCTCTCTCTCTCTCTCTCTCTCTCTCTTGTGTTAGCTCTTAGTCTTATTGATTTGGCTATCTTAAGGTTGCGTTCCCCGCGCTCACGCGGTAGACAATTTGGTTAGTGAGTGTTCCCCCGTACTATCCATAGAGTAGCGAGAGGATGAACGAGATGAGGAAAATATATACAAACAAGATTGAGAGACTAATATAAGATTAGTTTAAGCCACCACTACCTCCGATCCTGTTTTTGCCAAGCTTGATTTTCCCTGTGCACCGAGTTTTGCCGAGCCGGGGCAGTTTCGTCCGAGAAGGGACAGAGGAACCAAAAATTAGAAAAAAAAAAAAAAAAAATCCCCAACGCCACAATAACCACCAGATACTTTCTATGAGGTGCTCGTGTGCCTATGCTCTTATTGAGGGTGTGTCGCAAAAAAAAAAAAAAAAAAAAAAAAAAACCCTTCTGTTGTAATTGAGGGCGGATACAGGATGCCACAACATTCAGACAGAGTTACCCGTGAGATATGCCTTGCCTTACTGGCAGGGCACTATAACTACACAAAACTTAAAAAAAAAAAAAAAAAAAAAAAAACTATAATCACACATGGCGGCCAGATACATTCATGTAGGCACTGTTGTTACATGCCACCCTCTTGAGGGTCTTCCTTGATGTCCAACTTTTTTTTTTTTTTTCACATTATTATTTCGTCGGCCTCCAACCTTGCCCCGAGCCTCGTGTTTTCAGGAGTAGGCTACTAGACGGACTTTGCATTTGTCTGTGAAAGGTAGTGGTGGTAAAAAAAAAAAAAACTCAATGAAATTAAACACAGAATTTGTCTTCGTGAATTCAAAACGTTTTTCCCTTAGTCCACGTTCTCTGGGTATGTCAACCGACTTATGGATAATGGTAAGGTAATGGGGCTCTAAGGGCATACTCACATTATGTAGACCCTCAAAATCACGTCACTCGCATTCTCTAAGTGTGAGAACCAACTTATGGATAATGGTGAGGTAATGGGGATCTTAGGGCATACTCATTGACTTACCGTAAGGGCACGGGTGTGCAACCCATAGTTTGTTCGATGGAGAAATAAGAGGAAAAAAAAAAAAAAAAAAAAAAAGGTAATGTTGTTTTTTAATGTTAGAGGGTTTTTTTTTTTTTTTTTTAATTGTTGAACTTGAGGGTTGGTGGTGGTTGTTGTATTGTAAGGTTTAGTTGTAGAGTTTTTATTTGGTGCATTTGGTGAAATAATTATAACAATAATAATAATAAAATAAATTGAAGTAAAAATAAATAGCAACATCGATGTGAGGAAAAAGTTTACAACAATGAAGTATTGTTAGGGAGGAATAGGGTTAGTTTGCAGTATTTTTGCCCTTGCAAGGGTCACTGTAAAGTAGTGGGTCGATAAGAAGGCAATGATTGTGGAGGCGTGAAGAATGGCAAGATTCTTGTAACTAGATGAGTGTGTGCGTGTGTTCGTATGTGTGTGTGTTTGTGTGTGTATGTGTGTGCGTGTGTTAGAGAGATATGTAAAATGACAAGTTTGGGGAGTCAAAGTTCTGTTTTCAAGAAGAACAAGCACGTCGGTTATGTGTGTATGTGTGTGAAAAAGGTACTTGAATAATGAAAGTTTGTATGAATATTTGACATACCTTTATTTGTACTTGGTTTTGAGTTGATGGTCCTTGAATCTTGTTGTTCACATATCTTGTAGACAAGTGTTCGAGTATGGTTGTTATTTATGTTAGCATAATTATTAATGATTAGTGGTGTTTTATATGCAACTAATGTATTGATTATGTTTAACAAAGTAGTTGTGGTGGATAAGTGGTTGAAGAGTGTGGATATGGTGTAATTTGTTGAGTGTATAAAGACAACGTTCGTTATGAATGAATGTCATATATAGAGGCATGTCTTTTTGAGATAAATCATTGATATATGAAAGTGGGTCAGGTAGCATAAGATATCGAAGCATAACAAGGAAACGAACGTCACAATCTTCTGAATTAGTATGTTGTGGTCCTTATAAGACATATGTTGCCGCATTTTGTAATATGCGTATAAAAGATAGTCATACTTTGATGTTAAAAAATAAGGTTGTATCAGTAATGAAAAAACTGTCATAGTAATATATAATTTGCGTTTCAATATTTAAATATCTAAGTGTCAAATGAGTATTGTTTATGTTTATCAGAATGAAAAAATATGTGAGTGTTGTGAATGGACATTTATTTATTTATTGCATTTGTCGGTTAATGCAAGGATAATCATTTTTTTTTTCCAATAGTTGTATGTAAACGTGTTTGCTACGAAGATTGTTATTGATTTATTCATTATTAATTCAACATAATTGTTTATGAGTATATTTGTCAGTCAATAATGTTCATGTAAATTAATGTATAAACATGAGTCTAAATCCCTTGAGGTTGGAACAACTTTTTGAACATCTCAATATGTTATAAAGATAAGATGTGAAAAATCGGTTGTGAAGTTATGGAAAGTGATGTTGTTAATTGGCTAAGGTTTATGAAAATATTCTTTAAAGAAGAGATCACGTAAAAACATTCGTTGGCGTTGTTTGAATTCGTTGTTATATTTGAATCATGTGACAAACAAATAAAGTTAAGAATAGTGATATTTTTTTTATTATTTAAAAAT